CTTTTCGTAGCCTGACTTGTCAAAGAGAGAACGTCCGTAATTGTTGATCTTTGCCGTACCCATTTGATCAAACCCTTGAAATTGTGAAACAAAAATATCATTTGCAGTTTGGTTTACACTTATTAGAGAATGCGTGGCCGAAAAGGCAATTTAGGTTTCTAATCGAAAATTAATCGAGAATAAGTATAGTAACATATATTATATTATATTTAATCAATCCAAATTACAAACTTACCAAGAAAAACACTAATGCACAACACCAAGCACAACATCAAATGAAAAAATGATAGAAGGCAAACCCACTCACTAAAACATGGAAATGAAACTGTAGCTTAGCTATGGCTCCACAATAATCTTCCCGGTAGCATGGCCTTCAATACTCTTATCCCAAGCATCTTCGGCCTTGCTCAGAGGGTATTTCGAGTCAATCACTGTCTTAAGCTTTCCTTCCTTTACCAAATTAACAAGAAAATCGAGGTTCTCACGCTTGGAGTGTGCGATCATTGGCACCAACTGCTTCTTAGAGAAGGTAAGTAATTTTGCTTTAATATAAATCAGATAGGCAATAAAGGTGGGAGAAATGTCGATTACTTTCCCCTTTGCACTAAGATTTGGCTCAAAGGTTGACCATGGAATGCCTGTAGTGCAGTGGATTACAATGTCGTATTTCACACCAGAAGGGCTTTTCAGAGCTGCTTTATCAGTAGTTTTGTAGTCAATAACCTCATCTGCCCCCAGACTCCTGACAAAGTCAAGGTTACGAGCACCGCAAGTGGCAGTTACATGTGCATTTCCAAGTTTAGCTAGTTGAACAGCATAGTGACCCACCCCTCCTGAGGCAGCAGTGACAAGAACGTTTACTAGCTTACCGCTTCCATCAAGCTTGATCCCAGAAGAATCAACGAGAGCTTCATAAGCAGTGATAGCAGCAATGGGTAGGCCAGCAGCATCAGCAGCTGAAACTTCCGGAGGCCTCGCAACTGTCATACTCTCCTCGGCCACAACATACTCAGCTAGTCCACCTCCAATCTTTCATAGGAAATTAGGAACACATAATTAATCAAACAATGAAAATGGCTACAATAGTGCCTTTTGAATGGAGAAGAGCCTAACAAACTAACAATCTCTTGAAAATTTCTAAAAAACAGAAAACGAGAAGATTAAGAATGAGGACTTACTCTAAGGCCAAGATAAGTCACAGCTTTGTCACCAGCTTTAAAATCCTTTACACTTGACCCAACCTCTATGACTTCTCCTGCCACATCCATACCTGCTCCAAAGACAAAATTAAAATAAATAAATAAACACCAACAATTAGAACAACACAACAATGAATTTGACAAAAGAAGTTGAAAAATTGTCTTATAAAATGGATGGTAATATATATATATATATATATATATATTTGAACACAAGCAGAAAAAGAAACATGGTAATTAAGAAGAATCTAAATATGAAGTGCAAGGGCAAGCTTAACTACCAGGTATATGGGGGAATTTGCGGGGACAAAGCGGTCGCAAGGCTCCTTGCTGCATCTTCCAGTCAGCTGGATTTAGACTAATTGCTTCTACTTTTAGCAAAATCTCATTCTTTTTTGGAGTGGGAATTGGAACTTCAACATGCTGCAACATTAAACCAATGATTTATTCATGTAAAGCAATCAACCATTACCAAATGGCAGCAATATATACATGTAAACGCAGGTTAGTCCAACAAGTCTCACAACATTTTTCTACACCAAAACTCTCTGTTTTTAAGCTTAATCGCGAACCCATATGCCCAATCTTTCAACCATTCACTAGCAATTGAAGTTTTACGGGCGCTATGTATAAAGAAATATCAATTTGGGGTAGAAAAACATAAAAACATCATTAATGAATCATTACGACAGTTAAGATATTAACTTTTCACCTTAGCCTTTTTTTTTTTTTTTTTTTAATAACTTATATGGGGCAGACCATATATGTAAGACCTTTCTATACTACCAAAAATAAAATGCAACGATTTTGAGGGAAAAATTAAACAAAGAGGAGTTAACGAGAGTGATAATGATTGTTACTTTGAGATCCTTGGTTCCTCCTCCATAACGATCGTACCGAACTGCACGCATCAGCTTAGCCGCCATTTGCAGGTTGGTGGAAGAAGAAAAGAAGAGGAGAAGATTCTGTCTTTTTTTTTTTTTTTTAGGCAATGAGGGGAGGGAGGAGAAGATTCTGCTTCTTGCGATTAAAATATTAGTAACCTTATATAAGGAGCTTTGGAATGAAATGAATAGATTTACACGAACATGTTTTTTTACTCGCACCAAGACATTTCAGAGAGTGACGTAAATACTAAGCTTTGCTGTTTGCCTATGAAATGAGGAGTACAGTAGTACACAGGGCAGCCACCATTTGGTTTGTCCCCGTCCGTTTACGTGACAACAAAACAGATAATACGTGCAGAGTGACGTAACTAATTTCAATGTAACAATAATGTTACGATGTTAACTACCTAAGTGGTCAAACCAATTTTCTAATAAAAGTGAAAATTTTGAATTTAAAGTCAATAATTAAAAAAATTAATTTTTTAAAAATATTTTATGTCAATTTGGAGAGACTTTTGGTGACTTTTAATATTATTTAGGAAAGCAATTAGTATCAATTAATCTTAATTTAAAATAAGGTGAGTTAAAAGATTTTTTTTATTTGATTTAGTTATCTTATTTTTTTAAATAGAGATCATTTAACTTAATCATTTCATTTTTTATTTTAATAAGATATTAAATGTTAATATTTTAATTTTAAGTACGTTGTTTTACAATTTTTCATTTTACTTTTATATATCAAAAGAGATAGAAATATATTATGATTTTTTTTTGTTTAATTATAAGTAAGATTGAAAATGGAACTAAAAGTAAATTCTTCTATAAATTTAAAATTTTGTTTGAAGAAAATTCAAAAATTAATTTTAAAATAATTTTAAAGTAAAATTAAAAAAAATTAAATATCTAACTTTCTCAAAATTTATTTAAATGTTATTTTAAAAACTAATTTTTAAATTTTTTTCAAAAAAATTTTAAATTTATGAGTAAAAAATTTACTTTTAAACAAATTAATTTTTAAACTTTACCAAATCATATCTATTTTTATTTTTTCTCATTAAAACAAAGAAAGAAAGAAACACCATATGTTTACTTTCTTTTTTTCTGAATTGGAGCTATATATCTTTACCACGATCCAATGTTCAAGAAAGGAAATCAAACATGTTCTAAAGCAAAAGATGAAGGAATGATTCAAAATTCACCCAAAAACGACACGTGAAACGTCTAAATTTTTCAAAATTTTATAAGTAGCTCAGATATGCAACCTACAATTGAAATATACTACGAAATCTGGAGCGGAAAGCTTGACTTGAAGTTGAAGGCAAATTAATGGGTATATTTTTTAGTTTAACATATTTATTAATATTTATTAATTTTATTATTAAATTTTATTAAATTTGATTATTAAATAATTTTAATTATAGCCCTTCCTTTGCCAAATTAACAAGAAAATCGATGTTCTCACGCTTGGAGAATATGATTATTGGCGCCAACTGCTTCTTAGAGAAGGTAAGAAATTTTGCCTTAAAAATCAGATAGGAAATAAGATTGGGAGATAAGTCAGTAACTTTCCCCTCTGTGCTAAGATTTGGCTCAAAGGTTGACCACGGAATGTCTGAAGTGCAGTGGATTACGACATCATATTTCACACCAAAAGGGCTCTTAAGAGCTGCGCCTTTCGGAGTCCTGTGGTCACGAACTTCATCTGCCCCCAGGCTCTTGACAAGCTCAAGGTTACGTGCACCACAAGTGGCAGTTACATGTGCGTTTCCAAGTTTAGCTAGTTGAACAACATAGTGACCCACGCCACCTGAGGCAGCAGTGACAAGTACGTTTACTCACTTGCCACTCCCATCAAGCTTGATCTCAGCAGAATCAGTGAGAGCTTGATGAGCAGTGAGAGCAGTAACAGGCAGAGCAGCAGCATCAGCAGCGGAAACTTCTGGAGGCTTCACAACTGTCATACTCTCCTCGGCCACAACATACTCAGCTAGTCCACAGCCGATCTATCATTGCAACACATAGTTAACCAAACAATGGCGATGACTAAGAGAGTGTCTTTTCCATGGAGAGGAGTCTAACAAACCACAACCTCATGGTAATTTCAGACAAACAAAAAACGAGAAGATTAAGAATCAGGACTTACTTCAAGGCCAAGATAAGTCACAACTTTGTCTCCAGCTTTGAAATCCTTTACTCCTGGCCCAACCCTATGACTTCTCCTGCCATATCCATACCTTCTCCAACCACAAATAAAAAAAATAAATAAATAAAA